GTGACAGATATTCACTGACCTAGGGCATCATTTCGCCAATGGCTCACAAATGGTGCCGGTATACATGGGCTAACCAACACGTTTATGGACCAAGAACAAAACCTTTGCACCCCAGTCCAAGAGGAAGCCTATGTATCAATCCTTGTGTTGCAACCTTGACTGCTTTGGGGTCACAAGCTCGGCTGAGCGCAAGGCAGACGGAATTTGATTGTCCAGTTGTGTCTCTGCTCCGTGGCGAATGAGTCCCTATTCCACAGTTCAATCAGGTGATGCCCGGTTGATCGTTACAAGGTGCTGTGCTGTCGTATTAATGGGCAAGTTGTCAGAAAATGGAAACTGTGTTTTATAACCGCAACGCAGCAAACCTATTCAGAATAGAACACAACGGTTTGCAAAACAAATCTGATGTACCATCCTAAGACCAGACACATGCGCGTGACATCACCAGCTGGACAAGCGCACTCCTAGGACGATGCTGAAACCGGAAAGGGGTGCCTTTGTTGGCAATGTACCCAGTTGAGAATTTTCCCTTGTCGTCACTCAAGCAATTCTTGAAACACTGGCCGTTCCGGTTATTGGTCTTGGTAGTTGTCCAAGGTCTGCTGCAAAGATGGTGCGGGGCTCTTGGCATTAATAGACATAAGGTCGACCTTTTTTTCGTGGCAGAGGCTTTCTTGAGAAACGACTTGATGTCTTGGAGACTTGTGTACGAGGAAAGCCAAGAAGGCTCATTTGCCTCGCTGGCCTTACGTGCCATGCCTCAACGCAACCAACGGTTCAATGCCGGGTCCGACAGGTCGTGTTTTTAAATATGCTTAACCTGAAGATTTTATGGGGTTCACGACCTGGAGTCTCAAGGAGCCCGCTCTAAACATTTTGAACTACACTGGACCTGCTTGCTGCATTTGCAAAGCGTAGAGAACTCTTTTTCGTTTCTTTTGGTAGGGAATGCTTCACAGGAATGTTATCATTTTAGTCAGCCAAACAAGCAGAAGCAGGGCCAAGTATGCTTACAATGACAAAAGAATGGATGGAACAAGTTACCAGCAATCTCGCTTGGCATCGTCCCGTAAGTAGTTCAATTTTGGCATGTCGAATTTCCATAGATGTTAATGCCTCCTCGGGCGAAATTGGGGCAAAACCCGTGATATTTTGGTAGCCCGCAACCGCACAGGGCGCACATGCCGTCCTGCCCGTGGGGTTCGCGTTGAGCAGCTTCAAGAAATCTTGAAGATCTGCTGTCCACAAGGCCCGAAGCAGCTTTTGGTCCATGGGTGTCAGTGACTGTGACAACCAACCTTGGCAGGAGCTGGTAGTGATGCTTGACAAGACAAGTGAGTGAGCATTGGGCCTTCGTTTTCTTTGCTAGGCTACATCCATTTCATTTCTGTCATTTTGGATGGTCAAGAAACGTGCTGTCAACCATCTCTTGGCAGCCGGCCGGCAATGTCCTGCAATGGGGGATATTGTGGCAAGCACTAGGATCTTACGATACAATTGATCGCATTATAAGAAGGGTTTTCAGGTTTGCGTAGCTCCGTACCTGCAAAATCAGGCGTTGGCATCAGACATTTTAGGTAAAGAAAGATTGAGGTTGCGGGAGTATGGACAGCTTCCTCTCGACCGATCAGGGTCGCTGACTCGCTTGGCACCGCGTACACGGGCCTAGGATCAGCTACAACTATGCCACCGCCACCTACCACAAGAACATAATAGGGTAGATGGAAAGAATTACCCGCAAAATCTTGCTCAGCACACCCTTCAGATAAGTAATTCGATCGAATAATAAAATTAATTATATAGATCCTAATATTTCTTCGGGCAAACAATTGGAACGAACGTAATATGTTCCATGCTGCCACGATCTTACTTTTCCGATTGAGGAGATTCTACATAATAAGACTTTAATAATAAGAACAAAATCTTATTTAGAATACTCTTCCCACAAGAAATATGATTTGGCAAGTCGAATAACTTAATTACTTAAAACAATTTTTATATTTCTTCGGGCAAAAAATTAAAACAATCGTAATATATTCCAAGTTATCACGATCTTACTTTTCCGGCGGAAGCTATATGTAATAAAGCTTTAATAATAATCATAATTCCAATGTATCCGGAGATACCAAACGAACATAAAAAACGAACGACAATACAATATCATAAAACAAATATAGTAAAATAAAAAATAATCCAAAATAATAAAATAAATATAAAAAAAATAATAATATATATTCGAGAAACCAATAAATAAGATTTTCATAACAATAATAATTATACAAAATATCATTCATTTCCAATAAATAGCAATCTATATAGATAAACCATATAAAGCTCAATATATAAAAGGTTCTTTACATTACAAAATATCAAACTTATAAACAATATCGAGATTAATACAAAAAATGCTAAATGCCACACTCGAAAAAATTCCCATATATCCATTCCATAATAATTTAAAACATTATCCCAATATCACTAAATTTAATCGGGATAATATCATTTTACCATCTATTAAAGAAAAGATAACTCAATTTCAAAATATATATATATATATATAATACATTATGTCAACATATATATGCCAAACATATTGGGGAAACGCCGAAAACTCTAAATAACTAGAAGACACCCATCAAGGCTCCTACATATTACGCCCCCCCCCCTTTTTGCCCTTTGCTAATCGCTAACTCAATTAATTCAATGCCGAAACATCACATAAAAATCACTTTAACACACATATATATTTTAGTATCGCACCAGCTAATCCAGGAAACCATAATCCTCATCCTCATCCACCTCATCCACCTCATCCTCCTCATCATCACCACCCCATCGCCGCCGCCACCACCACCACCATCACCATCAACACCATCGACGCCATTGACAGCAACGACACCACCATCATCATCACCACCATCATCCTAATCGTCCTCATCATTCTTGTCGTCGTCATCATCATCATCATCACCACCATCATCACCACCAACAACATCATCATCACCATCATCCTGAGCGTCCTCAGCGTCCCCATCGTTCTCATTGCCGTCATCATTATCACCATCATCACCACCATCATCATCACCATCATCCTAATCGTCCTCAGCGTCCTCATCGTCCTCATTGTTGTCATCATCATCGTCGTCGTGCTCACAATCATCATCATCATCATCATCATTATCATCACCATCATCATCATCATCATCATCAGCATCACCATCATGATCATCACCACCATCACCACCATCATCACCATCATCACCATCATCACCATCATCACCATCATCACCATCATCATCATCATCATCATCTAATGTCCCTCAGCATCCTCATCTTCCTCATTGTCGTCATCATCATCGTCGTCATCATCATCATCATCATCATCAGCCGCAGTATTGTCATCCGTGGCATGGAAAAAGCTGTAATCTCATGTCAGCAAACACGCGCTTTCGCAAGCTATTTCTCACACTCAGCATCGCCTGGAGCCGGTAGCTCTAGGGATAGGTTTTTCTTCTCAGGCTTCGAAGGCATTGCCCTCGGGGCGTTGCATTCCGGGCGAATGATTCCGGACTTCATACCCACTGAAATAAGAGAGGCCGAGGCTAAGGGCGTAGAGTGTCTTTTGGAGGGGTGGGCTTTTAAGGTCGCGGAAAATACAATTTCAAGACATTGGGGTGGAATGAACATGTTGGTTTGACCTGGAAACCACGCTGATTGCGTCAGATTGCCATTCCCAGCTTCTCTATCTTTTTCCCCTTTTCTTTTTTATCACCCCACTGCAAGCTTTGCAACTAGCCCAAAGGTGTCGGATCCTTGTCCGAAGCTTGGGACAGGCCGCGGTTTCCAATGCGCCCAGATTGCCGCTGAGATGCCGCCGAGACCGTTGGGACTTGGCGACTTGGCTCCGAGGTCGCCCTTTGCAGATCCGGTTCTGCCCTTGTAGTTTTCCTGTAAGATCACCAACACAGGAGCCCCCCCTCAAAATGACGAGCCAGCCATGTCCATCCTTAGCGTGTTGCTTTGCAGGGTCGGACCCTGATTCATTGAGGGCTCGCAAAAGAAACTCAGTTTGAACATGTGGATTGGGTGAAGGGACTCCAAACAAATGCTTCTAGATATCTCTGGATGCAGGAAGTTCAAACCTACTACGAATTTAGTCAGTTGCTCGTGCAGCTTCTCTCAAAATGAAGGTGGTCATGTTTTCTCTCCTTCGGCAAAAGGAAATCTGCATGGTATGGGCAAAATAGGAAGAACCTGTGCAACCCCCTGAATCCCATGAAAATTGTGGATTTGGGGGTGTGAATTTGGTTGGGACCCTGCAAAATTCTATGACATACGAGGGAGCCACGAAAGATGCTCGCAAAACAGCCTGTCCAGTCGAGAAGCCCATGAAGACATGGGCTATGAGGTCCATCTCATGCGTCCGAAAATTCGGAAATCAACTCCTTCGAGGATGTTCATATGGCCATGTGTCAAAAGCCAAATCGTACCCTATGGGTATGACTTTTTATTACTTTGCTGGACATCATAATTCGTTGGGGATGTATGTCCACCGATCACTTTTCAGGGGTGTTCCCCATTAAAAATTCATGAGCATATTCTATTGCCCAGACATACCCCACGAAACTGATAAAAGACCATCGAAAGCCGATACAGCCAATCTGGTCTGTTGCTTCTCTCAAAATGGGCGGCTTCGCTCTTGCCCGTTGCAAGCCTTCGAATGCTCGCCCCAGCTTGGGCTCTGCGAGCAGTTCAAAGGATCGCGGCCGAGTTGCTTCCAACGAAATACTACTAAATGTGAAATCACGTCAAAAGAGATCTTTGTATGCCTGATGAATAGAGTGCCCCGTGTTAGAGAGCTTTTTTGGGGCACCGCCTATGCGGACTACTGCAACTCACAAAGGTTTCACAGGCAAAATATAGGGAGTCCGTACCGCACCTACAATGTGCACTTGACTTTTTGTTTGAGGACCTTGGAGACAGGTAGCCTGCTGGGAGCTGACCACAAACACAAACTGACCAAAACCGCAGAGGCGCGACCTCCAGGGCCCCAAAACCGCCGACACCCGGAAGCCCGCGGAAGCCCGCGGGGTTCCCGCGGGACCGCCGCAGCGTTGCCGGTCGCTCACTTGGACTTCTCTTTGTTGCCGTTCGCTTTGCCGTTGGTGGGCTTGACCTGGAACCTTGTCTTGACCGCTTTGAGCTGAAGGGGAAATCATTGCAGAGTACTCAACCCGGAGTAATCTCCGAGTGAAAACACCCTGCATCAATCAACCAGCGTATATATTCTGAGAACCAGGGTGCCCTCGACCATCGGACTTGAAGTCCGAAAGGATAACATGCGCCGTGTGCGTTTCGGCCCCCTCTTTCTGAGGACTGCCACGTGGTTATGAAGGTGTACCATGGATCTCCCCGTCAGGGCTAGGAAACAAAGATGCTACAGGGCATATCTCTGCCCGGGTCCGCCTTGATCCTGCTTGTTCTTCATTGGGAACCCCCGGCTCCCCTGGCATCCCACCAGGAAGTCATGCGCTGTACCCTTTCTACCACGTGCAGAGGGCCAAAGGGCCAAAGGGAAAGGACAGACGAAAGCAGCCTGATGCATTTGCTCGGGAGATTTGATGTGTCACATGCTGGGTTGCAGGAAACAGAAAGAGCAAGGGCCTTTCAGTAGAAAGTTGTATTTTTGGTAGAGAAGACAACAGAAGGACACAATGACTCTCATCTACTAATTTTGGTTTGGTCACCCTCGTTTCGGGAAACCATCCGGGTTCCAACAGTCGTTGGCTTTCCAAAACGAAGGATCCGCACTACTGTTGACCCCGGATTTATAAACCCCGGTTTGTCAATTTGGGGATGTTCGGGTTTCCTCACTTTTGGAGTGGAACACCGCATATTGATAAACCGCGGTTTATTCATCCGGAGTCAACATGATGCATTACTAGTGTGGGGTTTCATCACTCTTGCAGCCATATTGATAAACCTGGGTTTATTACTGCGGGGTCGACAGTACTAGTACAACTAGCAAGTGACTCGGGGTGCCACTCGTCTTGCGCCAGTTCTGCCGGTTCGGAGACCAAGCAAGCGGCAGCTTCTCGCTGATCTCGGCGAAGACGGAGGCGAAGACCTCGACCAGCGCTTTGGTTTCCGTGAACCCCAAAGGCTCGGGTAGGGTCTCAACAAACAGCTGGTGATCAATCAAAAAGGACCTTTCAGGGGCCCGGTGTTGAACGAGTCTTTGGGAGTAACGTTTAAAGGAGACTGAAGAACCCTGCAAAGTGGAGCGGTTGGGACGTCTCATTGGGCAACCGGATGCTTGAAACAGACGTCTCACAAAGCAGGTGGTGCTTTGAGTCGTCGCGGGCAGCTTCTCTGGCAAAACTGTCCGAGGGCAATGCTAGGTCCTCCAGATTTGAGAGGTTAGAATAAGTTGGTACCAACTTTTCTCGGTTTTGTCTATGTTAGTAAGGGAACCCTCCCCCCAAAAGGGTGGTAAAAGGTACCGAATGACTGTTACCCATGCTAACCCCCGGACTGTCCAAAACTGGGTCCCTTGAACTACGTGGCTCGCAGGTCGCAGCGCCTGGAAAGCCGCAAGGTGTTCGACTGGGAGATGCTGGAGCCAGCTTTCCGCAGCTTGGCAACGAGGAAAAGGCGGCTGCAAAGGTGGCAAAGAAGATCGCAAAGGCGACAAGGGAGAAGGAAAAGGCAAAGGAAAGTAGGACAACTGAGGAAGTGAAGGCGGCAAGTATGGCAAGGCGACAACTACCAGCGGAAAGGGAAAAGGAAATCTGAACTTTTGGGGGGACCGCAAAGTTTCCAACAAGGTAGCCTGGAAGGACTATCAAAAATGCCCACCCGGGTGCCAGTTGGGGGGAAGCAACATCAACAAGACACAAACTATAAAGAACAGGGGCATGGCTTTCCCCACAACCCAGAAGCCGACCCAACAAGAGGCGGCTCACCCCTAGGTGCTCAAACTTCGGGGCGCCCAAGAAGTGTAGAAGTCTGCCCTGAGACCTAACCTATTTGGGTGTGGGTCAAAAATAGGTACCCCAAAATGGGTTGCCCTGGTAAATGGAAACATGGACTGAAACTTGGCGGCCACTGATGGTTTAATTTTGACCCACACCCACTTCCCCCCCAAAGCGACCTGAGAAAGTCCCTCCCTCGAGACGTTTTTGAGTTCAAGGTCCTGAGCTGCTTCCCCATGCATCGCTGCTGGCATCCGATAAATTCACCAGCACCGGCAATATCTGAATGACATTCCTGAAAAAACAGGAGCAAAAAGGGTCAAACAAAGAAGAAGAGAAAAGAACAGAAAAAACACAAAAAAAACAAAAAAAAACAATGGGACAATTCCAAAGGGAAAGTGTCAAATTGAGATTGTCCAAAGGGAACATTCCAAAGGAATAGTTCCAATAGCACAATTCCAGTGAGAGAATTCCAACCAAAGGATTTCAATGGGAGGATTCCATTGGGAGAATTCCATTGGGAGAATTCCAGCAGGAAAATTCGGAGGGAGAATTTCAATGGACAAATTCCAAAGGGATCATTGCAATAGGAAGGAACATCTCGATGGAAGAATTCCAAAAGGGAAAAGTCCAAAGGGAAGATTCTCAAGGACATATTTCAATGGAAGAACTCCAAAGGCAAAACTCCAATCAAAGAATTTCAACGGGAAAGTTTCAAAGCAAAAGTTCGAATGGGAAGATTCCAAAGGGACAAATACGACACACGTAAGAAAGCAGATCCCCTGCTAAATGTTTAACTTTTGGTTGGTTAAATGGAAACCCCCACAAAACCCGAAGAAGCTAAAAACCCAAGGAGATGGCTGGGAGCCACCAAGTAGTGTCGGTCGCCGGAGGCTTTAAAGTTGCTCTGTGGGCCCGGCAAGCCCCACAAAGGCCCACTGCGCCGTGTCGATGCTGTGACCTCGCGAGCTGCTGACTTGCTGCTCTTTACCCAAAGTTTTGATTTTGGCATTCTCGAAGGCGTGCTCAAACCCAAGGGCTGCCTTGCGGGAGAGGTTTTTGTTTTTAGAATCTCCATTAAAAGGCTCCCTCCGTCATTTGGAGAACATCTTGAATCACCCCAAATGACATGAAACAGAAAAACGGTTGATCCCCTGTGAATATCAAGCTTGCCATGGCACGTGCTTGGTTGACGTGAAAGTTCTAGCACCAAAGCTGAGGTAGGTCCGACCAACAAAAAACAAAACAACCACCCAGAGTTGATATATCCAGCAACCGGCCGAAGGTTGACAGTCTTGGGCAAAATATCGGCCAATTCCCAACCCCGCAAACTACCGGTTGACCAATTTGCCCTGAAATCCGAAAAGTATCCTGTCCTTCCTGCCAAACTTCAGGAGCTCGTGGCATGTCACTGGCGAAGCCAACAAGGTTCCGGGCCGAACCACACGATGGAAATCAGCACCGTGGCCATCTTGCCTCGAAGCGCAGAAGGAGTCATGAGCCGAAGGTAAAGAGGAAAACCCTTTGGCAAAACTTCTTAAATAAAATAAAAATAACATAAAAAAGTCCAGCTAATCAATTTACTGGTCTCCACTGCAATCATCATCAATATCATTGAAGTAAAACCGCTACAGTAGTCCCAACGTGTGGAGATCTGTCACAGAGCTCACTAAACAAAAACGAAGAAAGACCTCAAAGTCAAAGGTGATCATCTTTTGGGGCACAAGCAGACCGAAAAGTTCCTGCTTGAAGGGCATCGAATTGGAGAAGCAACCGGCGCAAACAGCGCGGTTCGATTGGCCTTCACTCCAAATGATACGACCTAGTCAAGTCATATCTTCCCCATCCTTTTTTTTTGAAATAAGCCCACCCGTTTGTTTGGTGTTGTTTTCCTTCAATTGTCCTTTGTAAAAAAACCCAACTTCAGAAGTGTTTCTTTGAAGTTCTCTGAAGTTTCTCATGTTTCCTTCAGTTTTCTGAAGTTCTGAAGACAAGGATCACTGAAGTGAATGGCACGGTGCGGCGCTGGAACGCTTAAGCTTATTCGGCTCCTTTTACATACCTACGCTTCCTGGTAGACTGAGCGGGGGACTTGTTTGCCCTATTCCCAGTCGGTCTTTTGTGCCAACAGTTTTCCGGCGCCACCTCAACTGGCACATTGCTGTTGGCTAATTTAAACATGTAGTTGATTCCTTTTCAATTTGCCACGTCATTTCCCGAAAAGGAGAAATACGGACGCTGGACGCCGAAGGGTTACCATGTCAACCCTTTGATTTGACGCTGGCGGCGTGTAGCGGGCTCCGAAACGGACGGCGGAAACTAATTGGGACCGCCTCTGGATTGAACAGCATATTACTTCCCAAGCTGTTTGGTTTTATACTTTTGGGAAGAAGAGAGCAGACTGCTCAATTGCAAACGATCCGGATGCCTATACAGCAAACGGGGGTCGCGTTTGTTCATCACTGGGGCCGAACTGGTGAACTTTTTGGAATGTCCCATGAGAATCTGTGAGCAGCTGCCCAGCCGCTGGACAGTCACCATCGTTTGATCGCCAAATAACCCAGAACCTTCCTTTCGCACTTTATCTCACCTCACCTTACCTCACCCCGCCTTCCTCATTGCCTGGGATTCCGGCATTTGGGTGTTGCTTCACATTGAGAACACGATTTGGGTTGCTTCCTTTCGAATGCATACAGCAGAAGAGCGGCCGGATCCCCAGTCTCAACACCCGCACATCCTAGATCCGAAAATTGGGCACCCCCTTTCGGGTTGGAAAAAGACTCAGGTAACCCAACCATCTCAATCAGGGCTGTGGGAAATGGAATCCAATTCTGTGATACAACAAAAAGGGCTTCCCAAAGACTAACGCCCCAAATAGGGGGGAGATTCCCTTGTATCACAGAAGTGGGGATAAACCCCTTGATCCCACAACCCTGATCTCAATCAACACCGTATGTCGCTTCTAGCCTTGAAAAAGCCTTCCCCGTCTTGATGTCAACCTCGAATTTTGACGAGGACAATACTATTCCGAAAATCCCTCCTAAGATGAACTAATCCCCGGCAAGGAGCCCTGATTCGCATCCAGATCCCTGGAAGCCTTAGTCTTACGTCACATCCCTTCTACCCCCCAAACATCACCAAAAAGAATAACAAAGAGGGACCACTCCTCTTTTAGACTGCCTAAAAGCAGATGCAACCAAAACCACTCTTCTTTTAGACTGCCTATCAGAAGATGCAACCAAAAAAACACACACACACACACAAGAAAAAACAAAGAAGAAAAGGCCGCGGAAGCGTCCCGACTCCGCTTGGCGTTGGAACCCCTTGGTCCCCGCGCGGACCGTGGTGATCTTCGCGTTGGTGTCGGGCCCGAACCAGGCGATCGTCAGGAAGATGAAGACCTCGCTCGCTCGCTCGCTCGCGCGCTGAGCCATGCCCGGCCGCTTGAAAAGCAGCGCCCCAGCGCCGGGCCCGTCTTTTTGGTTGTTGGTTGCCGTCGTCCTCCTGAAAACCAAAAAAAATGGGTTTCTGACTGAGCTGGGAATTTCGGAGAAACAAATCTAGCAACTTGTTGCAAAAGCCTGAAACTCCTGAAGCTCCCAAACACCTCTTTTGCAATGTTCACGGCCTGTGACAGTTCAGGAAGCTTTGAGCGGTCACCGCCTCAACGATGCCTGCCAAGCTGTCCAAAAATGCAAGAGTGATCCATCCAAAGTTTCGCGGTGCAGGACAAAGTGTATCCATGCTCGCCTCAAGACTCCCGCAAATCTCCGCATCGGATTTTGCCAGGCCCACCCGCAACTGGACACATCGGAAGTCGTTGTGTTTGCTCTAACCGTGGATCAACCACTGGAAGTCGGTAAATCGTCAGGGTCTTCTAAAACACCCAGCAATGTCCCAGAGTTTGAAGGTCCAGCAAAAAGCTTTGGAAGATTCATTCAACCATATGGGACATGACTACCCAGCTGAAATAGGGGCTTCCTATAAACGGAACCTTCCGAGGTTGCAAACGAAAACCCTTTGTGAGGTACACAAGGGTACACCTAGACTCGGTTCCTTTCCAGTTCCCTGTCAAACCATCCACCAAGAAAAATATTTCGACAAATCCCTACACCCACAACCCACTAGTCCACATATAATGGATCCCAACCTGAATGTTCCCAACCTGAACCACTGCCTGACTCCAGCCGCGCTGAATCCCGGGCTTGCCCAAAGGCGGAGCAGAGGGCAAATATGGCGATCTGCCGGCGAGTCATCACGCATCCGAAACTCGGGGTGAAACCGCTTGTCCGTGGTATCCCTGTCACAAAAAACAAGTTCGCTGGGATTCCAAAGGCGGTATTTATTACGGTGCTTTATAGAAAGACGGTTTCTTGAAAGCCGATGTTTCTATTTTTCAAAGCTTGCTTCAAAAACACAACTGCCAAATTAGGACGAGGCGCGGATCTCAGGTTTGGCTAAGCCGCTTAATCTTTTGCAGGATTGCACGCAATAAATCATATATCACGCTTTAACCTTGAACCAAATTGTTTAATGCCAAAAGAACAGAACACACCAGCCGTATGATTAACCTTTTCTTTTATTGCGAGCTGACCAATCAAGCAGCTATGAGGTGCAGAAGTTAAGAAGGCTGCCCTGTTGCACAGAGTTGGAGCCTACACAAAGCATCCACACCCGCTGTTTGCCTGGGCCACCGCACAAGTAACTTGCCGTGCCAACAATCAGAGCTACTATGCCTGAGGCCACCGCCAACATGTGTAGGAATTAATATCCAAACTATCAAAACGGGAATTATATAGTTTTTGTGTGTGTGTGTGTTGCTTCTAATTGGCATGTTGTGTTTTGGGACAAAAATCCACAAACAGCCTTTCATGGCCAACAACGGTCCTTCACGGCCAAAAACGGTGTTTCACGCTAGTTTCGCTGCAATTTCACGCTAGTTTCACGCTATTTTCAGGACAGTTAACACTAGAGCCAACCAAGGTATTTTCAATCACGAGTTCTTGTCGCATACTATTGTATGTTCAGGAGAATAACTTCTGCAGTCCTCAAATAGCGAGATTGACACCTTCGGCTATGCGCTGCAAATGACTTCGAGTTTTACGCTCTACATATAACAATCGTTCACTTGCTATTTCGTGATGCAAACTTGGGCATGTTCAGTTTGATGCCTTCCAGAGAATGTAGCTCAAAGGTCGGCTCAGCTGTGATTCTTTGACAAATCCGCATCAGCGCAAAAAGCTCTAATTGCCCTACAAACTTGATGTTGCAAAGCGAGCATATGTTCCAACACTTGACTCGAAGCGCTGCCCAAAAACCCTCAACGTCATAGCCAAAGTGACTGTCTTGAGGCCAAGGAGCCATTTTATTGGCAGGAGGGCTGCAACATAATACTATATTACACAAACGGCTGTTACTGGCCAAAAACGGTCGTTCCGAACAGACCATTTAAGAAACGGTCGAGGACTTCCAGGGCTACACGCACAAAGATCACACGCAAGGGGCTCAGCTGCGGTCCAACCCCCCCCTTGAAAATGGGCCCGCTGCTACGGGCAAAGTTGGCGGAAACTGCCAAAGTAAGGACACAATGCGAATGACCGCCAGCGAAAGTTGCAAACGCATCTGAGAATACCCTAAACCATCCGGCCCAAGCTGGGTTAACACCCCGTAGGTTGAAACCCAGCATGTGTTTGGCCCAATAGATCTCACAACCAAACATCTGCAACCAACCTTTCCAACAACGAGTCGCAGGTCCGTATTCCAGCAGTTGCCCTTCAGGACAAACTTTGCCAAGTTGGATCTAGGACACCCGGGAGGTTACCCCTCTCACGGATCGAAAACCAAAGCCCGGGTCACCGAAACGCACTGTCTGCAAAGCGGCCTCGTCCAAAATCGTGATGTTGTCGACGAGAAACTGCAGGCCTACGTTTGGCCATGGCGTCAGTCATGCTGGTTCCCTTTCGAAACCGGCTCCGGCTTTTGCCGCCACACAAAATCACGCAAACACCAGTCGTGACCAGTTGGCTGTGTGTGTGTGTGTCAAAACCCTGTACCCCTGCAAATGGATGTTCATCCACCCCAAAATCGAGCCATAGGTTATGCCCCATGGCCCTTTCTCGCCGAAACTGACCGGGTTCAAACCCCTTGCCTGTCTGCAGCTGGCCAAAAACCAGGGACACCTCGGCCGCTCGCTGGGAGGAGGCGGGGCGCTCGCTAAGACCGCGGCCGTCTGGCAAAACTCTATCGTGGCGTCCATCGTCCAATGCTGAAAAAGACTGGCCCACCCCACAACCCCCCCAACTTTTCAGCGGATGGGGTCAGGCGAACATGGTCCACAGGCGAAACGGGTACTGTTGACCCCATGATCAACCCCATTGCATCATTGTATTCATAGTCAGAGTGCTTTTCCGTGGGTTTAGTGAGGAATCAGACCACTTTTAGAGGGGCCAAGACCACCTCAAAACCACCCCCCCATCAATAAACAGGTTGGTTGCTTAGTATGAGGTCATTCGCCCTCGCAAAAAAAAGGGCATCGAGGCTATGGCGGGCAGAAGGATCAGTGCGGCGCCCAGGTTGGTCATGAACATCTGCTCGTACCTGTATTTGGCCGCCGAATACGGCGCTTGACACTCACAAGCCCAAGTGAGTCACTTGCTCAACACCCGGCATTAAAATGGTCCACCCAGAGCCATGTAAAGAATTAAGAAGAGCTATGTATGGTTGGGATTGTCCCTTACTAACCTTCATCTACCCGGGTTTTGATTGTGGCTCAAGTATTGACTGCTTGACATGGGTATGGATGTTAATTGGGGACCCTTTGGTGGACATCATTTAGGTGGGAATTCATGTCCACCAATCACTCTTGAGGTGGTTCTCCATTTAAGATTCTTAGCCACATTGCCTGGCAAGTCCACAAAGAAGCGCTGCACTACATATCATCGACTTCAGGCACTTCATCACTAGGTTGTTGACCAGCTGCGGACAGCTGGTTGTCTAAATAGCTCCTGTCCCGTCCCCTTCAGGGTTGCCCACAAAAAGGGGTGCCGAGGGGAAATATGCTGTGAACACACAAGCAATGGGTTGTGAAACCTTCCAGGCACACGCGGGCTGATTACAGGTCACTGCCTCTTTGTCATATTCCGACTTGTGTAATCCGCAAGTGTCTCTTGACCTCTCTTTTCGTCTTTTCGGCTTGTGAGAGTTGCTCCCTGGCTTAAAACCATGGGAGTTGCTTCACGCCGCTTTCATTCGATGATGTTGACTTTGGATCGTTCCGAAAGGCCGTCAAAGGAATCTCGCAAGATCATTCCACCCCTCGGAGAAAACCAGACTGAATGATCTGACTTGCCGGTCCGGAATTTGCTGGGAGGTACGCAGGCTTGAGGTGACTTATTTTGCATGAGGCTAGCACAAATGGGCCCTAGGATGCTCCACCAATCTACACCATGATCCCGTACAGTGTCACACCCCTGCTGGACACCTTATTTTTGCCAGCTTCCAAAACTTGGAGATTTGCAAGGAGCTCCCGCGTCTCCCCAGTCGAAACCGCCCGATGGTCATGAAAAAAAGGGGCTCCCACTGGCTTTAACTTACTCCCTGAGCTCCTGGACTGTAGCCTTTGGGGAAGTGGTGAAGAACATGTTTGCACTTTTCTAGCCAACCCACACACACAAAATGCTTCCGAGTAAAATTGTTGACCGAAGGGTTGCAAGTTGCAACTCCGTTTCTACCGCGACCAAAGGAAGAGCCAAAGGAAAGCATACCGCGACCAAACATTTTTCAAGGTCAACCAAAGGTAAACCAAAGGAAAACCAAACATTTTCGAGGCAACGGAAGCCCCAACAAATCCGCGAGGTCCGTCGCTCCACTTTGCTGGCTCACGGGGACAGGGCGTTCACCTGGTTCCGCATGCTCTGCTGCGCCGCCGACACGGTGCCATCACCTCTCTGCTCAGGGTCTCGTGTGTGGCAGCTTTGCTCCCCAAGCCCAGAAAGGTGGAAATCTGGGCCCTGGAAAAGCACCACAAAAGTCGTCAATACGAATTTCCATCTTTCTGCTTCATCTTGCGGAACCCTGAACAGTCCGGAAACTTGCGCTTGCTTTGTCCATCTCAGTTTGGTTCTTGCAGGCTTACGTCCAAATGGGCATTCCCTAACTCATCGAGCCGAGGCCGAAAACCCCGCGAAGGGCCCGCGTCAACTTGGGGTCTCTTCGCCCAGGCTCTTCGGATTTCGCAGCCCAAAGGGCTCTAAGACATTGGTCTTGGGTGGCCGTTAGCAAGAGACCTGTTCATAACCCTTTTTCAGGAGCGGCCTGGGGCCCCTTGGCCACCAGAGCAAAAATGGCAACAAAATTACACCCCCAAGGACGCCAGGAAGCAAGTGACAGCCTGTAGGGTTTCCATTTCGAGTCTCTGGCATCATGTCCCTCCTTGGAGCTCTTGCCTCACTGAATATCCCTCCGCCCCCCCAAACCGATTGTTCCAGCCCCGCTTCAGCGGTCCGCTGGGACCCGCTGGGCTTCCGGGCACAGCAGCGACAGCACCAGCAGGAGGACTCCGAGGGGCTTTGCCTCGGATCGGCGAGTCACGCTTGGAGGAGTCACTCAGACCCTCTGGTTTGGTGCTTTGGTGGTTTGGTGGTTTGGTGGTAGGTGTGTGTGTGTGTGTGGAATCTTTGGGAGGTTGGAAAAAGTCAGCCTTCAGCTTGGTGACCGTCTGACCAGGGGTGAAACCACTGCACTAAGTTCGGGTAATCAGGTGAGCCCTCAGCATCCCACTTGGCGGTTTGGATTGTCTGGTTTGGCGGTGTGGTAAGGGGTGGCGTCCCATTTGCCCTCTACCATCCAAACCACCGAGGTGCAATAGGTAGGGAATGTGAATTGGAATGAACCCATGGGTCCCAAAGTCCTCAAGGAAACCACCAGTTGGATGGTTTATATGGGTCATTCCATTTCTCATTCCCGTCCTATCGCACCGGAAAGTCGACCTTCAGCTTCCCACTTGGTGGTGTTGATTGGCAACAGCCTGGTTTGGCGGTTTGTTGGTTCCGGGTATCCCATCGCCGATCCAAACCACTTATGAGGGACCTGAAACCTGGCGGATGAAACAAGTCCCCCAAAAAGTGCCAACTCTGGAACGGGACATCATCCCCAGTAAAATCCAACAAGTGACATCCCCAATTTTTCATCCACTTTGAGGCTTCATCCTGGGCTCACAGGATGGATCTGCAAAATTTTGGACACTTTATGACACGTTCTTGGCGCCTGAAGGCTGCGCCGGGTCCTTTTTGGGAATGGATGTTTCAGAAACTGGACTCTGGACAAATGGGCTGGTGTCCTTGGTGTTTTCCAGGAAAACCCATGGATTCCACTGGTTTCATTGAATCAACGCACCAATTGCAGCCAATGAGAGCACTCAGTTGGCACTCTCCAAGGAGCACATCCACTAGTCCCACCCCCCGATTTCCCCAGAACAAGACCCCAACATTCGGCCGAAACCAAAACCCACTGGTGGGAAACCGAGGGGGCGGGAGAGGAGTGGGGGGAGGAGTGGGGGGGAGGAGTGGGGGGGAGGAGTGGGGGGAGGGGGGGGTTGGATCAGGCGCATCCGGATACGAGTGAATCCGGCGGCGTCTTTCGGGCGGCCTCGATGTCGCTGTTCTTCTTGCCGCTCATGGAGAAGCCCGCGGTCCCCAGCCTCGAGGCCACCCCAAGAAAAAACCGTCCCGTCAGCCCAGGGGTTGGGGATATACCACGAAAGAGCCGCTATAGTTAAAGAGCATGTAGCAAGGTGTTCCTGAAAATGAAAATTGTCTGGTGCTTTTTCAGCTTGCTAGGCCAACCAGAAACCATAGCGCATGGCAGGCTTCTCCATTACGTGCAATGATTGGGACTGCATCTGAGTTTCTTGAGGGAAACGATGGGAAAAGTCGTTTGGGGCTTCACGGATGTGGACAAGGGACCCCCCGGATGAGCATCTCGGGTCACCGGGGATCTAAAAAGAGATCCCGATAGACCCAAAAGGAGGCGGGCGGAGGCTAGTGCCAAAGGGCCAAAAGATACCTGGACCGACCTTGTACTCAAGGCAAAACGACCCTTGAGGCTTCAATGGAGTCTCATTGGAGGGTCGTGAGCCAAGCCTTTGGGCATGTTGGACTGTAGGATCCCCCGCCACCAAAACTCCTCCCCCAGAATCACATTTTTTTTGCCATGCCCATCTTAGTGGCGAACACAAATCCACTCAGAAAGTGAGACTAGCTTGCCAGACATCCTGCCAGACATCCTGCCGTAAGCACTTTGCCCTGGATGCCTTCGCTACATTGACCAAGAACCGTGCGTGCCTCTTGGGATGGTGGGGATGGTGGGGATGGTGGGGATGGTGGGGATGGTGGGGATGGTGGGGATGGTGGGGATGGTGGGGATGGTGGGGATGGTGGGGGTGGTGGGGGTGGTGGGGATGGTGGGGCCCCTTGTTCGACGCGGGTTTTGTGCGACCCGCCCATGTGACCATACTCGAATATCCTCGGAACTGATTTCTCATACTCTCCCTTTCCTTTGGTTCCAAGTCCAGAAACTCGGGGAGTCGTCTTTTTGCCCTGGAAAACGTATACCCTTGGCCTGACCTTTGACTTGTCTTTTCGACAAGTTTGTGGGCTCCCTAAATAGCAAAAGGCCCACCCCGAACAACTGCTTCGGAAGACTTCATTGCCTTGCGACCTGAACATTGTAGAGCCCACTGGTTACAATGGAGAGCCCCCAACTCAGGACTCAGGGCATCAATTGCTGCACCCAGACCCCCTCGCTGACTGCAGGCGAGGAAGCGTAATGCCGATTGCTGCCACCCACTGCACAGTGGTGATGCGTTTGCCTTAACTTGGCGGGGATGTGAGACAGCTGATGGGAGAGCCAGCAGACATGATCAATGTATTGATGAGCATGCGGGCTGCTTTTTGGCGTGCCAAGCCTTTCCCTGGCAAGGACTACTCTGGGTCACATCAGCGAAACAGTCTACACCAGCCTACGGCAACTTCGAGACTCGGTTGCTTTCTGCTCCCCAGCTAAAAGTTTAACTTTCAGTGGTTTCATACGGAAAACCCATGAGTTGGCCAAAAAGTTAACTCCCTAACATCCCTCGGCAAAATACACCAAAGGATACTCGAGCTTCCCTAGGTTGGGAGGTGAAGAAGCTGGGCAGCTTGCCTCTGAGGCCTTCTCGCCCGCCTCTAGGGCTTGATCCCAACCATTCTTTTCAGCCATCGTTCTTTTCAAAGCCCAGCCATTTCCCCAGGGTTTTTTGGTGGCTTTCTGGAAAGATTCGGATCCCTGGAAAGAATGGAATTGGAAGTTACCCCCCCTTTTCTGTACACAAGCGAGATGCCCATCCCCCGCAGTTTGTATCAACAACCTTGGATTCAGCAGGGATCCGGATGCATTAATCACCTGAGCATTGCCTTGCAAATGGTGGTTTCCTTTTATTTTGCTGGAAGAAGCCATGTTTCAAATGGTTGCAAAATGCATCTTTTAAGGAGGCCTGATCAGCAGGCAGACACTACCTCACCTGGCAAGCCACACACCTGGCGAGTGCTCATCTTCATCTTGACCAACTTGGGCTAAGAGTCTAAGAGGTCTCCTCAAAATCAGACGCACCACGCACCAAAAGGGGGGCACAATGATTGAGCCGGTGCTCCTGAAGCCAATCTCCCCTCAAAATAACCCACTCTACCGGGTTGGATACCCAAAAGCGACCCTACACAAAAGCTGCATGCCCCAGGAACATGTGCCAGGGGCACTTTCCCGAAATTCGCAAAAGCTACTGGCCATTCAGGGATTCTGTGTTCACCCACGGTTGGAACCCCATGTTCCCCCCCTCCCCCATCAGGTTCCATGTTAATTGGAGGGTACCGGGCCACTGCGTTTTCCCATCGAAACCCGAACCCCGGGGCCTTAGGGCCCCAGGCCGCTCCACAGACATCCGAGCATCGCCGGCAGCGTCTTCGAAGACTTGGCCAACGCCTCGCCGGATCTGGGGAGGTGGCGGGACTCGGTGCTTGGCTTCCTGCGAGCCTTTTTGGCTTGAGGTTTGGGATATTTGTTTGGGATGTCTTCTGATGTGCGGCTTTTGATGAGCCAAGAAAAGGGGGGTGGCCGGAGATTCTGCGGTGTTCGGCTTTGTGTGAGCCAAAAGAAAGTCTGAGCTCAGCCCAGTTTGGCGAAACACCAGGAGGCGGTGGAGATCACTGGTGTTTTGCTCCAATTGGAATGAGTTGCTTCCATTTGGTTTAGGCCCCAGGAAGGAATACACATATTTCCAGTAGTGATGAGTTCCTTTTAACATGTACAAGGGGGAAAAAAAAGAAAGTACTCTTAAGGTCATTCCAACTGGCGGCTTCCTTCAAGGGGATCCCCACGGTTCAGAACCCGCCTGTTTTGAACGAAAGCCAAAGGGGCGCACCCGTACAAAGGGAGTTCCCCGACTTTGGCAACACCGTCAATTGGTGAATCGTACTGGTTGGGGCTCATGCCCTGAGAACATAATCGCCTGAAGGATTTCTTGCGAGTCGGTCTGGGGTGGTCATCTTGTTCTGGGGGCCACATGGGTGTGTTGGTGCTTTCCTCGAGGTCCCTGATTTCGCAATGCACACACACACACAAGTTGACAGAATCCTGGTTCATGTTCATCCACAAACTTCTGGTTCAAATCGCTAGCATCGTTTTGGCCAAGTCGACCCAGATACAAGACCTCGCCAAACCTCGGTTTCTTTCTGCTCCCCTGATGAAAGTTATAATTAAAAACAAAAACAAACAAAACTTCAGTGGTTTAATACGGAAAACCCCTAAGTTGGCAAAAAGTCCAAACATCCCTTGGCAACATGCACCACTCAAAGGCTCCAGATGGATTTAGGGCCCTCAAACAGCACCCCCAAACACTTCCGGGGTGTCTAATGCAGGGGTCGGGTCTTCCATTGAAAGCCCAAGGAGCCTCTGGGCAAAGAAAGATTTCCGCGTGGATGGCCTCGAATCCAGTGCCGGCGCCTGGATGGGATAGGACACCGACTTCAGCGCCTCGTTGCTGGCGAACTTGGCGCCGCACTGCGCGCCTCGAGAGGCGGCGCTCGAACACCGGACCATGATCCCTAGGTCCTCCAGGTGTGAGAGCCTAGAATCCGTCGGCACCGTTTCTTTCTTCGGTCTCGTCCATTTTCGTAGGGGGACCCTCCCCTCCCCTCCCCCGAAGGGGCGAGAAAGGGCACTGGAAAAGGGTCAAAGGGCCGGGGGACCCAGGAAAGGCTTCCCTTTCACCAAGCAACGGAAACCAGCACTGGGGTCTCGCATGGAACCCCTGAAGCTCGGTTTTCAAGCTAACCCGATCAGGGGGGCAGCCTTCAAGAAGCCGGAAAACAGATCTGGGCCTGTGGTGTCCCCTACAAACTCGAATCCATGCATAGCCCTTAAGATGGAAAAGCTGGTGTCTTGCTGGTATGTCTTTATGTCTTCAGGGTTCCTGAAAAGTTACAACCAGAAACCACCTGCTTTACAAGGAAAAGCTGGAACATCCTCAACATCCACCTCAAAATTAGCCGGGGCAAGTTGCTTTTTAAATCGGGCCACATGCATCCTTTAGGGGACCTTGCTGAACCCTGGCTGAAGGAGAATCCGCCCCTACCAGAGGTCCGCCATACGAATCGTAATCACACAAGTGTAGCGCTAGTCACCACCACACGGCACTCTCGGAATGAGAGTGCACTGTCCGGCTTCCATTAGTCATGCCTTAAAAAAACATGCGTCACAAGGTCAGCTCCCAAAGAAACACCTAAAAAGCACAGCGCCGCAAGGCGGGCAACGTCAACCCGCTCCACCGAACGGGACTAACAACCAAGAATCTGATCTCTACAGTGCACCGAACAGTGCCAAACAGGACTCACGCGGGAAGAAAGGCTTCTGAACTCATGGGAACCCCGGATGAAACAAACAAGACAAGGGGCAAACAACCAAACATCAAGAAATTGTCAAGCAAGTGTGACAACGAGTGACTCATGGCGTACAGGCAACTCAGGAAAAAAGGGGGTGCGGTTGGACCGCAGCATGTCAAATGTCAAAGAGGTCACCCCAACTTACCACAAACATCTCGCGCAGCCGGGCGCCTTTGGGCCTGACTTCGGCTTGGGAAACTCCTTGGGCCCAAGGGTTGACGGAAGCTGTGAAAACAAACAGCAAGCGACTTGACCCAACTCCAACTCGATCAAAACCCGATGTCAGTGACAAAGTTGAACCTCCACGTCTCGAGTCTAAAAAGACGGAACCTCGCGGTGGCATTCCCCGGACCTCCTCGTGTTTGCCTTCTTCTGGGCGCCCCGCAAGCGACAATGCCCTGGGATTTCAGGTAAGGCCGCCTCGGAGCGAGCGCCAAGCGTGGCTCGCAGCCATCAGACCATCAGATCAACGACCGGATTTCACATCCCAAATCGCCCCGGCCGCGCTCGTGTCGCTGTCTTCCCCCCTGGGTGCCAGCCAAGATGAGGAGCTCCCTGTGAAGAACCTGCCATTCCGCCCGAATTCCGTTGCAGCCTCCGAGCAAGCGTGATTTGGATGGCTCCTAGGGCAATGTCGTGCACCCCTGAGGGTGTACCCTCCGGCTTCTCTGGTTGTATACCAGTGATACAAGGCTATTGCATACAAATATGTATATACATGTGTGTATATACATGTGTATATATATATATATATCTGTATGCAAATTTCACTTGTGGAGTCACTGAAGTCGTTAGAGGTACACCCCCAGAATTAAAAAAGGCAAACTCCTTGATGGTAGGATGGACTTTGACAATCCGTGAGCGTCGGGAGTGCCCTTTGCAAATATTAAATAGTTCCCTTTCTCCGGGTCATTCGGCGTGTTTGAATCCTGGCTTGCAATGTACAACGGGGTAAATTGAACGCAGGGCTGGGTCTTTCTGGTACTACCCGCGTGCACATTCTGTTGGCGGCTGTATTTACTTACCAAGAAACCGGCTAAAATTATGCTGGAAGTTCGCCAAAACCCTGCCGGTCACGGGTGAGTATTTGGCTAACCTCCCGAGGAGGATCCTTCCGAATAGCAAGGTTTACTTCCGTTTCGGAAGTCCGATGCAAGACACTCAACTGGGGTTCAGAAGGCAGCATTAAATAAGCCACACTCCAGGAACAAATGTTTGTTGGGGGTGACGCTAAGCGGAATATGAAACCACCACCTTTTTTTTCCAGCAGCTCTCCAAGCGAGTTGCCAGATTCGCCCGGTCGGACACGAGCCCAACTGAACGCTTGCCTTGAGACCAAACTGGAGATTCCCAAACTAAGCGTGCGCCTGCCTCCAACCCGCTCATACTCCATGAATTTAATTCCAAGGGTTCGGATCTCCAATATTCAATGACCAGCATCTTCCCGTCAAGTTTCTACTTGCACTGTAAGTATGAAAAAGGACGCGCCTCTTGCTGGTCTATCTCTGAAAGGGACATTCACGGACAAAGGACCTGAACCAAGGCGCCCCGACTCCGCTGGATACCTGGGAGCTCCTTCTCAAGCCTCATCTCTCAGAGCCAACATCCGGCTCTCCCTTCCGCCCCAAGGCAGAAGCGCGGCGACCGCTTCAACGCGTGGCCAGGCGCGCGTCATGATGGCGAGGGCCACCAAGGCAGACCTCGGGGAAGGAGCAGGGCCCTCAAGCTTGGCATGCCTAATAGGAAAGGTCAAGACAAGTTTCGAATGCGGAATATAAACAGGACCCTGAAAACCGGAAAATGATTCATGCTGTGAGACTAAGGAGAGCACACATTGACGAACAAAGAGCCAGTGTGCAGGTAAAGAAAATGGACTCTGCACCTGTGAGGTGCTCTTTGCCCGCGACGTCAAAGTTCCAGCCCAGTCCCGCCGTTGTTGTTTGTTTCTTTGAATTCCCTTTTTGTTTGGTGGGTTCCGCAACGAACAGCGGTCAACCCCAACAAGGGCTCCTTTTTGGATCCTCCCGTGGGTTACGATTGACCGACATTCATGCTGTGCCTCGGAGCTGCAATAACGAAAAAGTAAGGAGGCTGCAAAATAACTCAGGATAGGCTTCAGTGGGAAGCTGAGCTTTACTCGAGTTGCTCTATGCCTCAGGCAAAAGCAATCGCACAACGCGGCGTTGGCCCTGCTGGCAAAAGGGGTACAGCGGGCAACCCGAACACAGATCTCAGCCCCGGGTGTGGTTCCATACTGTGGATCTCAGCCCCGGGTGTGGTACCATACTGTGGATGGTTGCGAAATCCATTTCGCACCGCCCAAGAACCTCCTGGTTTCTGATGATTCGCCTGTAAATACCAACAAGCAATGGTTTCCCATGGCTCTTAAATGGTGCGAGATGGATTTCGCAAACATCCACAGCATTGTTGACAGCCATTCCCCCAGCATGTGGGCGCCAGGAAGACGAGCGATGCCCAGAACCCGACGTTTTTGCATCGAGCTTTCCACGTCGAAAAAGCCATACTGGTAAAATGATGTGAAATGATTCTACTAGGAACCTCTCATTATTATGTTAAGAACTACTGGGAACCTCTCATTTTGGTCTCCAGGCCCTTGCCTTCTAGGCTATCTACCCAAACCAACCCTGGGCAAGGTCCGAGGTCGAAGAGGGGCCTTGATTTCTGGCGTGAATGGCCAAACTCTGCTCCTGAGACCTCGCGTTGGGTCTCACTTGAGAGGGCTCGCGTTGCCACTCTCTTTCTGGATGGGTGGCTAAGCTTGCTGCACTGTGTGCTCCACGATGAGGAGCACCATGGTCTCCTTGAACCTGAGTGCTAGATGCACGGCTTGAGGGCAAGTGAAAGGTGTTTAAGGAACCATTTATGGAACCATGCACATATGCGTACATACACATGTACACATGTACACAAGTATATATCTATCATATATATATATATGTCTATAAGCATATCTGTATTTAGATTATGTATACATGTATAGATAGATAGATAGATAGATAGATTAGATTAGATTAGATTAGATTAGATTAGATTAGATTAGATTAGAGTAGAGTAGATTAGATTAGAGTAGAGTAGAGTAGATTAGATTGCATTAGATTAGATTAGATTAGATTTAGATTAGATTTAGATTAGATTCAGATTAGATTAGATTAGATTAGATTAGATAGATTAGATTAGATAGATTAGATTAGATTAGATTAGATTAGATTAGATTAGATTAGATTAGATTAGATTAGATTAGATTAGGATAGATAGACAGATAGATAGATAGATAGATACATAGATAGATAGATAGATAGATAGATAGATAGATAGATAGATAGATAGATAGATAGATAGATATTGCACATGCAAGTATGCGCATAAGTGGTACCACTTTGGGTTTGCTTTGCAGACCACCCATTGTCAAATGTCCCGCGCTTGGAGGCAACCCCACATGATGCCGAAGCAGCTGGACATTTCCAGGTCTCAATTAGATCACGCGTCTCAACTACAAAAGCTGCCTGGGTGGGTTCTCAAGTTTAGAGTATGGACGCTTCTCTGCCAATTGGCCTGGAACATCAAAACGAGGTCCCCCCAATGAGAACGATGGGCTTCCAGGTTCCATGTTCTGCACGCGAGTAGCGCAAAACGCTGCTGAAAGAACATCAACTTACCCGCGCGGCCATTGCCAAAGGACAGTGGTGCGATTTCAGTGGGAACCCCCGCAGGTGCCGCCGTGACAAGGCGACTCTGAAAGGCATACCCACCACTTCCTGATAGGAAATTTCCGGAAGTCCATGTCCTTTTAAAGGGACACCCTGTCAGGTTCCATGTTCATTGGGGGGGTACCTCGAAAAAAAGCCATGGGACCCAGCCAACAGCGCATTTTCTGAAGCATCGACCTCGATCGGCCCCACGCGACTGCGGGCCCCGGCTTCTCACCGCTGGGCGTCCGGTACACAAAAATGCTCTCCTCGCGGCCGCGCGGTCCGAGTTGGCGCGCGCACCGCCCAAAAAGGGAACAAGACCGGAAAAAACTGGTGCCCCAAGGTATGAAAGGGGAGGGTCCCCGGCAAGTCGCCGGTATCAAATATGTGGGAACCCACTAACTCTCGGTATGTGAGATGTTTAGGGTCGCTTGGGGTCAAGGAAGATGGGACTTACATGGCTTCTGACGCAATTGGAGGGCCAGGTCCCTCCAAAAAGAGCCCGATGCATCAAACGAGATGCCAGCAGCAAAGGCAGGGCAGCCAATCAAAAATCCTCCAGGTGGGAGAAACAACATATGCAGCAGGGTGAAGCAAAGAATCCCCTCTGCAAAGCTCGTCCCACATCTTCCCCAAGGCTCCCTAAGATCTAAATCAAAGGGCAAAGCCGCCTACCGTCTCCACGCATCGCCAATTTGAGTCAGAAAAAAATCGGTGTTCGCAGTAAACTAGTTGTCCAAAGGACCTGCAAGTAATCCGTTCGAATGAAATGCCACTTTTCGAGGTGCAAAAGACCCCTGAACCTGGGTGAATTTGTCACAATCCTGGCGCAAGGGTTCCCAACAATCCCCGGGTGGATCTTTAGCTTTTCTATTGCTATCTACTTCGCCCGTCTCCAGAACCTCTTTGGGCTGACCTCAAAGTCTTTTGGACAAACCCCGCAGAACCCACCGTGAGGGACGAACCACGTGCACCTGGCAGATATCTGGTTGTGCGCCCTTTCTCTCTCCATCGTGCATTCGAATCCTGGTTGTTTTTTCGCTCGCTCCGTCTCCGCGCGTGCGCGTGCCCTCACTGACCATCCCCTTCGACCTTTCGGGGGGCCAAATGGCAACGGCTTCGCGTCCTGCAGAATGCCATAGACAAAGAAGCAGCTCCAAATTCCGGCCACACCTCGTGGAGAAATCTCGAAAACAAGTTTCGCAGCCCGCCGTGCGCTCAAAAAGAAGCCTGTCAATGGGTGACACTCGCAAGAGGGATTTTGAATAAGCTCAGGTGATATCCCCAACAGCATGCGGTGCTCTTTTTAGTGCTCGCGCCCTCGCTGAACCTTCGTGGAACCCTGGTGGAACGCTGGTGGAACCCTGGTGGAACTCGCGTGGAACCTTACCTCAGGGCTGCCACGGACCAACCCGGAGCCTATCTGGGCTGAGACCCCAAAGCTTTCAGCTGTTGGGGAAAAACATCCCTCCCTTTCCCAAATAGAACAGCGGCAAGCTTCACTTCAGCCCAGATGTAAGCTAGCATTTAAATTCAAGACCACTAAGCTGCAAATGCTGCACCTTGGGCTCTGGCAAAAAAGAACAGAGAGGTTAGAATAAGGGTACCCTTTTTCTGTAGTCTATTTTAGTAGGGGAACCCTCCCTCAAAAAAGAAACCGTAAAAGGGCACTACTGGGGGACCTAGCCTTGTCCCAAACTGGAGCCCTACAACCCCAGTCTTGGCATCAGAAAGCCCTCGGTTTTTGTATTAAAAAAAACAAAAAAAAAACGGAGAAACGGACACAGATCCGTCCGTGGGTTCCTTCGGAAGCTCAGGCGCCGGCACACGGCAAGCTTCCAGGCCGCCATGGCGAGGGAGAGGACGACGCAAAAGGGCCGGATGGAGTTAGAAGGAGAACATGTAGTTGGAGTGGCGTACATGTTTGCATGGACTCTATGTATATGTATATATATATATATATGTATGTGTATGTGTATGTGTATGTTGCATATATATATATATATATACATATATATATATAATTATATATATATATACATATATATATATAGATGTTATATATATATATATAAACATAGTTGCTCCAAAGGTGCGATACTATTAGTGTAGTATAACTCCCATATCACGCCCATCCAGTTGAACAATCCACGCTCGGATGGACTGCTGTGTTGGCAGCTGGAAATCTCGCGACCAGTCGAGGTCATAAGTAAATGCAGCCTTGTCCCAGCGGCTGGCTAGATGTATTGGCTAAGGCTCACAATCTGCAGGGAACCATCGCATGGATATTTGTGTGTCTTGAGCCAGAAACACATACCAGGCAGAAAGTAGCCAGAATTCCCGTCCTATTTTTGTCAGGAGGACGATGAAATCAACATGAAGGAATTGTGCCATCTGTCAGCAGGCTGGAAGCTCGCCATGCAAGTGACCCTCCGGAAATGACTCTTGGAACAGCGGAGGGGCATCCACTGCACGCAATTGCCCCCCCCCCCCTCACAAAAGAGGTTCACTCGAATGAGCCCGGAACAACATATGAGGCTAAGCATTTGGTGACATGTTGTTCCTATGATCCTGCATGATGCTGGCCCGTTTGCAAGTGTAGCAGTATAGGAGTCAAAGAAAAATTCTATTCCAAGACACGCCCAGTGTGCTTTCCCCGCTCGTTTCTCGCGGCTTCCTGCGGGTGAAACGAAGTCGCGGTCACATTTTCACCGCAGACCTGCATGATACGTCGAGCTGGGACTTATCGCAAGCTTCCAGGTCTTCCAGTAGAGAGGACAGAATAAGGGTACCCTTTTTCTGTAGTCTAAGGGCATGAGCCCCTCTGGACCCCTCCGACACGGGGACTTGATCAGTAACCCCCATTTCCTAGTCTGATTTGACCAGTGCGACCCATGCCATGCCTACCAGACGTGCCAGGTAAAAAAAGCTGGCGACTGTCCTAGGGTTAACATCGTCGCTTCGGCCAAATCAAAGAAGCAAGAAAATGTGGTTGGCCATTCGGCTCGTCCAAAGACATTGATCTGCGTTTTGATCTTTTTGACCTATGAAAAGGGCAGACCCAGCTATCCTGCAATCCCGCCGTCCAACATCGATCTGCGGTTCGACCTGTGAAAAGGGTCCCGCTGCCACGCCCCAAGGACAAATTCCCCCACCTGATGGGACACATCCGGGTGAACCTCCAGCCAAAAGAATGGACCCCACGGCTGAAGTACAAGCAAAAGCAAGCCAAGGCCAAGACCGCTAAGTGACACTCTCAAACAGTCTTGAAGACTGGTCCGACGGGAAACATGGTCTTCCCAAACAATCTAAAGCTTGCACAATGGGAAACTGAGACCGTCAATGGCCCCAACAACCGATGACGGCGTGCCCACTCACAGGTAAGGACACTTGGAGGACCATCCATGCCAAGTAAGCAGGCCATGGGTTTCATGCTGGAGTGAAAAATGCCTCACCTGACGTGGATCCTGCTAGCAGGATGAGATCAGGCTAACGATGCAAGAGAGGAGTTGGATGTCTGATTCCGGAGGAGGTTGGGTGCTCCCCAAAAACAGCACAAGGAGAAGCACAAAAAAAAAGAAGTGCCTACCTTTCGCTTAAAAAACATGCAACCTGTCAAAGGACCTTGGGCCCAACTCCACGCTCTGCGGTGCCCGCGGGCAAAACTTGTGGCGCCTCTCCGCCTCTCGCAAAGCCTGCTGCTCGCCCGCCACGATCTCCGGGGGCCTGGAAATCTTGACATGGTATACGTCAAGGGGCCCCGAAATGGGCGGTCTCCCTTTGAAGTCCCTCAACCAACAAAAAAAAACTGCAACGGTTTTTTTGGTGCAGGGAACCCAACCGTTGGCCCAGGGCCCTGGATAGGAGCTCACCCATGATGGTTCTAGTGGATCCCTCGCCATGGTATCTGCCTCTGTGTATATTCCTAGGTTTCGGCACTCAGGTCCGGGCTTTCTGTAGGAGATGATGAGCGTGCTGTGCCTCAGATCCGAGAAAAGCGGACCTTTTGAAGATGTTCGGGTAGAATACCGTAGGTGGCCGGCTGGCTGGCTGGCTGGCTGGCTGGCTGGCTGCCTGTGTTTGCTTTTGTGTTTGTGTGGTTTTGTGTTTGTGTCTGTTTCCGTGCTTGTTTGTGACTTTGTTTGTGTGTGTGTGTGTGCGGAGTGGCAGAAAACCCTGCCACCAAAACCTTTTTCTGTTGCAGCAGGGGGACCATCCATTTGCTGTGTGCGATGGTCCAACGAAGCGGCCACAGCAAATGCGGATATCGAGGCTGATCACCTCGACGTACCTGTGCATCTCGTGTGATTCAAAGTCCTTTTGGCCCGTTGTTTCTCTCGCTGTGTGTGCTTCATGTTGAACCTTGTAACGTTTTCGACACTAGAGGGAAACCGAGTGCATTGCGAGCCGAAACTCATCCTACTCGAGACTTGTCGGTTGTACTCGAGACTCATCAGTTGTACTCGAAAGATTAGCACTCTCCGTGTGTACACCCCATTCGTGGGGAATCCTCGGGTGTACCCATTGTGTGACCCCGGGCCGGCTCTGTCGGAAAATTTGACCTCAACGTGCTTATCATAGAACAGCGGAATTTCACATTTAACCAGGAACGAGGTTTCACTAAAGGGAAGAAAGCCGTCAGATCATAGTGACGTCTCACCACAGTTGATGGCTGCCGACTTTCATTGCATTTGCTGACCATTGGTTGAACTTGTTGCTCGTATCATTGCGGTTGACGATTGCTGACTTGTATTTGCTTTGCCTTGTACATGTCGATCGACCATTGCAGCTGAGGGCCGCTAACTTGCATTTGCATTGATTTGAATGTTGTCGGGTCCGATTCTCTCAAGGTGGAAGTGTGCAGATTCAGAGTCAGTTGCGTCACCATGTCTCGACGTGATGATCGTGATAGATCCAGGACTCGACGCAGACGTGATCGGAGTCCGTCCCCTCAAGCTCACAAAGCACGCCGACGTGAGCACAATGACAACCAGGTCTCGGAGAACATGGATTGGAACAACTTGGTTTCATGGCAACACAACTCCGGCTACAACGCTGCTAACAACTTTCCGATGATGCCTACCAACTTTCAATCGACTCACAATCCCACACAACAATTCCAATACCCAGCGATCAACTACATGATGCCGATCCCTCCAGATCCCACGCCATCCAAGTTCATGCCACCAGTGATGCCACCACCGGTTACTACTTCCCAACCTACACCGTCACCTGGACCTCCTGCGGCTCTACCGGTTCGTCCTCAGAAAGCCTGGCTTACTCCCTCGCCTGACTGGACACCTGGAGACGGCATGTTTGATGTCAATCAACTCTACAACTTCAGCCTGCCCATGACTGTTGCCAACACTCCGCATGGCAACCTTCGCGACATGTCAGGCATGGATATTAGGGACGTACGCCTGGTTCAGGTTATCCACGGGGGCCTCACCAACTGGCTACTCAGGCCGTTTGCACACGGCCGATTCGTGACGTGGGAAGGCTTTCGCACCCGCACTGAGGCCTTACTTTGGAGTACCTGCTCCAAATTACTACGAAGATCGCAGTCACTCAACCTGCTCACCCTGGAAAAGGACCTTGCCAACACGCTGGGTCTCAACATTGATGACTTCAATCAGCGCATCAAGGTCCACGACCATTTGGCCAACTTGGTACTTCAATTTCTTCAACAACATCACACCTCTCTCGCACCTGCCGCCCAGACCGATGACATGGTCAAAAAGTTCAATGATTTGAATCGTGCACACGAACTTCTCCAAGCTCAGTATTCCGCATCACTTCGCGCATCGACCTCTCCCACGATGACAAACCAGAAGGATGATGCAGAGTTGGTTACACCGCCACCGGTCAACCACACACCATCCTCGTCACCTGCCAGCTCCCTTCCCACAGCCAGCGCGGCCGCCCTGGATGGCAAGTCGTTTGATAGCGTGGTGCAACCTCGGATCATACAGTCTCTTCACGGAGTGTCGTCACCGCCGTCCAAACCGGCGGCGTCACAATTGCTCACCATGCACAGCACGCCGGATGAAGTTGTCAAGTACTACACATGGACCAGTGACCAACCTCGCCTTTATCTCAAGCAAGCACCCACAACAACCACTTTGGCATCGCTGGTTAAGTGGGCCAATCACCCGACCCGGCTCAACGGCAACAAGTCATTAGATTCTATGGCGACGCAGCTCCTTCAGGCGAGGCAACGCATGCCGAAAGGCGATGCGCCCACTCTCGGGGCAATGGCGGCTTCGTGGGGACTAGAACCCGGCTATCTTACCAAACTCACTGAGAAGGCCTTGAGTCACCTCATCGTGACCGCTCGCCTACTCTGTGGATGAGAAGGCATCATGATGACCTTCGTTCTCATATGAGCCCGGAGCGGCAACAATGTCACGGATGAGTCCAGGTGAAAACTCGTCCGTCAAGTGTCTGCGTTGCACCAGATTGATCTTGTACTTGCTTGTTCTTACATTGCCTCTTGTGTGATTGTCTGTGATGCTTGTATTCATGTCGCCGCCTTGTGGTAGATTTCGTTGGTTGCATCTCACCATGTTGGATGAACTTCGCCGCTGCGGAATCTATGATGATGTTGCACAATGGCAGTCGCTGGACGACCTTCTGCACTCGTTGACCATATTCTCTACGTGCTGGCAGTACTGTTTTCCTGGACTACCACCACCGTCGATTCCAATTGAGGAGTACGAATCCATCACACAATTGCCGTGGCTGGGTCTCATCCTCGAGGTCTTAGTTGTGGTCCGGATAGCCCTTCAGATTCCGAATCGCGCTATGTCAAACTCTCAGCACACCGTGGCCAACAGGTACGAGCTTCACAGATGTCGGTGCGCTGCCTATTTATTGATTAGTTTCTTACAACGTCTCATTTCAAAAGATCACGGCTACTTCCCGCCGTTCTTCGAAGTCCTTCACTTCTACAAGACTTCTCTCTTGTGTGAAATCATGCACTCAACTTTCGCTGACACGCGACATCTACGCTCATTACGGGCGCGATTTCCTGACCTCTATGACTTCATACATGATCCAGGTCATCACCAACAACCGTGCGTCTACATTCGACTTTCCCCATGGCACACACCATACTATGTTGGGGCGACTGATCAGGATGTTCTACGTCGTGAACACTCACGCAGCCGCAAATTTCTACAACTACTTCGTGGTCGGCATGCCTTCTTTGAACCGGCGCTTCACTACTGGAAAAGATCCAATACTTACTGGCTCTTCTGTGCTGTGCCAGTGGAAATCAAATTTCCAGTTTCCTCGGTGTGGGTTCAAGAAAGCAAATGGCAATACCTGCTACGCCCGCATTTGAATGCGCCCTGGGTACACAGAATCTTGCGCAAGGTGGGCTTCCGGGAACATCTTGTAGATTTTCGACGCCACTCGTTGTCGTCTCCCACTTCCCTCGGCTTGCACAAGCGCTTTCGACGACGACTACATCCGGATCTCCAACGGCAACTACGACCTGACATCCTGGATGACATTCAAGCCCATTACTCGATTCTCTATCAGCTGGGATCGAATACAGGAGCGTCGTTCCAAGTCATGCGTGACCTACTGTCGGCGGCTTTCCCTCCCACTCAGCTGTACTACTTATTGCGGCTCGCAGTCTTTGTCAACGAGCCCTTCCGCTCCAAGGCCCAGAAACTCCTCGCCCAGGTGCTGCGCAAACGACGGCTACAACCACCCACCACTTTGACACAGCTACTCTTACCGCCGCTACATGTCCAGAATTGGAAAGCTCTACTTGGCACATGGTTACAAAGCTGGATTGCTTCTCATCGGGATCTGTTCCCTTCTCTTTTCATTCCAAAGATCCGGGTTGTGGAAACTCGCAGCGCCACATTGGGCGACAAGATATACAACTATCGCACATGGCAGCGCAAATGGGCTCCTGAAACATCCTTTCCGTGTCGCTGTTTGGACATCGATGATCACCATCTACATCGTGCACATGGCCACGCAGTAATGGTGGATGAGTTTTCTCGCATCAATGCGGACATTAACGTTGAAATCATGGCCGCCTCAATGAAGGATCAGTTTTTCGGTGATGTCGACTTATTGCATCAACGTTTCACCACACAACTTCGCAAACTTGCTCGCCGCTGGCATGTACATGGTTCCAGTCTACTTTCAGATCTACAGCCGGTTGTGACTCAGTTAATGGATACTCATCGGATGAACCTCCAAGATCGAGCTTATTGGTCATCGACATCGTTGCAACGCACTGTGGCTTCTTTGTCTTCGTGGGTAGTTATCCCAGCGGATCATTTTCCCTCCCGCGCACATGTGATGTGCCCGTCCCTGTTTGCCATACTGATGCGGAAGACATTCTGCTCGGGGGATGTCTTCTCACTTTGCCGCGAATCCGCAGCATCCTTTCGCTCTGAAGTGGTAACCACGGTACCTTCTCTCCTACGTCAACGATATGCATGGGGACTTCGACTTCAAGCACCGTTGCCCACAGCGCGCATCCTCCCAAAGCCGACCAAGGACTGGCAGAAAGCTCGACCCATCATTTCATTCTTTCGCACATGGGCAGCTCCCTTCCTCACGGTCTTCGGTGCACTCATATTTGAACTTACCAAGGCTGCCTTCCCCGACATTGCAGGTCAACTCTCAGTACAAGAACTTATCCAGCAGCTGTGGGAAGCACTGTCAAAAGCAGATCCTGATGAGTACATCCACCTGGTGTCGCAAGACTTGTCAGGCTTCTTCACGTCCATTCCTACGGAACGATTCCACCAGGCGCTTCAAGTGCTTCTCCATCGATACGATCAAGTTGTTGGCCTTCGCAGTTCCTCGCAATGGTCCGTGTACGAAGTAAAGTCAGATCATCGACGCCGTATGTTCAAAGGAAAGTGGCGCCGTCAAACCAAGATCCCTCGAATTTTTCGTGAACAAGATCTCCGGCACCTTCTGGACTTTGTCATTGACAACAGTCACTT